GAAATAAAGAAAAAGGGGGGTTGGGATTACCGGACTTTAAAAGATACCATAGGGGCAGTCATTCTAGCAAGAATTTTTTTGACTGGATACATAATTCAAAGAGTAAACATTGGGTCACGATTGGAAAACACCCACTTAGTAGAAAGGGATCTGGGTAGGAGTGTTTATGGGTGTCACCACAGTTTAGAGAATTAGAGGAGAGCACGAGTATATACACGCAGGATTGTAATAAGGGAGTGGGATATAAATGCACAAACAGAGGAAATGGGACTTCAATTCACTGTTGATGTCACTAAGAAATTCAGAGTTTTTCCCCCCAGGAAAAGAGGAAATTTCAGGTAGATGGATTATGAAGGAAGATACTCAGCTGAGAGAGATGTAAATGAAGGGGGTTACACTTAAGAACACTGGAGGATTTGGAAAAGGGAAGAGGGAAGGATTTTCACTAGGATAGATATATGGAGATACAATCAATTGAAACAACAATTTGTGGAGAAATTGACGAAGCCCCTTAGAACTAGGAAAAAGAGTGGAATGAAATTTGAGAAATACATTAGAAGATAGAGGTGATGGGAAACACAGCACTGCTAAAGCATATAAAGCTCTCACGGACTTAGATAGTAAGTCTAAATTAAAATTATATAGAAAAATGGGAAAAGGATCTAGGAGTGGAGTGGGAAGAAGAGCACACACAGAGGAAAATATTTTAGAATGGTACACGAAAATATTAGCATGCGTGAGGTAGAAATGAATTTTAAATGTTTGACAAGGTGGTATCTAACACCGGTGTGATAGAGCACAAGATGAGTGAGGAGAAGCAACCTTGGTGTTGGCGAGGGTGTGGAGGGTTGGGCACGATGTATCACATATGGTGGGGGAATGCTCAAAAAGACAAGTATATTGGGAAAAAATTATAAATCAAATCACGAAATATCACAGGGAATGGAGATAGGATTGGATCCTGAAACCTGTCTTTTTCATAACTCAAAAATTACCTGGAAATAAATATAGAGAACTGAGTATATTGTGCTACTTTTAAAAAAAAATGCAGCAAAAAGTCTGATTCCTAAGTTCTGGGTAAAGTTGAAGCACCGAGGGAAGAGGACTGGATAAATAGAGTGGACCAGATTGCTAGACTGGAAAAACTTTATTATATACAGGAAGATAGGATGGTGACCTATCATATGAAATGGGAGAAAGAAATGGGAGGAGTTCAAAGGGAAGGTAAAGGAAGGGTACTGAGTAAGTAAGCATAAAGAAAAGGGTAGAGAGGACAAAAAGAAAAGGAAGGAAAAAGGGGAAGTGACAGGGAGAGAGAGAAAATATAGGAATTGGGACCTTTCTTTCTTTCCTTTTCCTTTTCCAGGCCTCGGTTTCCAGAGGATATGAGATACAAGCAGATCAGATAGATGTCAGGGGTATTTTGAAGCGGGGGGGGTGGGAGGTGGGAGGGTTAAAAGGAAGGGAGTCATGGGGGAGAAAATGATTTGAAATTAGTGTTTTATGAGATTTTTGTAATGTTATTATTTTTACACTATGGAAATGTGTATTGTCTTACTTGAAAAATGAATAAATATTTAAATAAATAAAAAAAAAAAAAAAAAAAGAATGTTCTGATTCCACCAAGCCACCAGAGCATCTACTGTTTCCAGTAGAAGGATCCCTGTCCAGTTTGTTGTGAAACTTGGGGGCCAGGAAATCCATGTCCAGACATCCCTCAGCTGGGGACACCGGTCAGGGAAACACCTCTGAGTGAGGGACCCACTCCCCTGGGTCAAAGAGCTGCCAGCTGAGAAATTCCACCTACCAGTTTCTATGCTTGGAATGTAAATGACTGACTTGAAGTTCTGCCAAAATAGAGCTCTAGGAAGGTCTTCCAATGCTTATTAGCTGGGTCCTGAAAAAGACAAATGCATCATCTACTGGGAATATTAGGTGTCTTGTTTAAGGTGGGACACTGCCAGATCCACAGTGGGGCATAGACGACTTTATACAAAATCTTCACCAAATGGATTCAAGAATAATAAGCACTTGAGAGGGAGGAAAACAACGTATCAGGATACTTCAATGACTGAAATAGTTGGCATAGTGGGTAAAAAGAGAAAGCCTTTGCAGCCTTAGGAGTTTTAAAGAACCCAAGGCTGAAAACAGCACCGGTAGAACCAAAAGGCAGCTGTGTGCTGAGCATCAGTCGGAGCCAAAATGGTCTCCTTCAATTCAAAAAAATCTCAATCAAAAGGGAGGGCATCCAGCTGCACCCAACAGAGCTAAAGAGGATTCAAAAGATGATGTATAACTCCCAAAAGCAGAAGACAGTAGGACTCAGGCTGCAGAATTCAGCATAGCCATTAGGTGCAAGAAGCCCCTGAGCCCTTATAGTATGACCTTGGGGGCACCTTTTGCACCAGACTGTCCCCCACCCTATGTCTTGAAGACCTGTTGCTACTGTGTGGCAGTAAAGCAGTGTATAGACTCGAGGAATAATGTGGAAAGGACTCACATTTTCACTATACTGAGACAGCTGATAGCAGATGAGGGACAGAGGTGATCTAAATCACTGTAGTAGGGGGGGCAGCAGGAATGGATCGAAGAACATCATTCATTGTGGCTTTTTTGCGAGCAGGAACAGCAGCGAGGAGATGCTTCCTTCCACAGTAAAACAATCGGGAAGAAAAATGTGGTAGCCCAACCAGTCTGATCACTGAGTGAGCCCTTTGACACAGGACAAGTGCTGAGGCAATGCTAATGTTTTTGTACCTACTAAGTGCTCCACAGCTAACTTTTACCAATTTGTTGAGCTAGTGGTTGTGCGTCGTCTTTCATCCCCACATTTTACCAATTGGAGTCTATGAAGCGCCCTACATGCAACCCAGCGCGTGATGGTCACATTCAGGCTATCCTTACAACTTCCAGTTTGTCCAGATTTTCCAAAAGCCAGGCTGAGAACTGACGACGACCATAGCGGTAATCAGAAACACAACTCCAGCTGCAATATATAGAGAATAATTTTGATTGAAGAAACATTTAAAGAATAAAAAGGTGCTAGCAAAAAAAAGGCTAGTCTTTAACACAGCGAACCTAAGGAAGAGACATCCATCCTCTTAGGACACCAGCAAAAATTCGGAGGCATGCTGGTAGTAGGAGGGATTATCCTGGAATGGTCTCAGTTTTTGATTATCCGCTTTCAATCCTTCTGTAGATGGCAGTATAACCCAAAGGTTAAAGGTTTCCTTTGACCCTCAATGAATGCGAAAGAAATATCTGTTGATCCTGCCAGAAACCCAGTGAGCTGGTATTGGGGGAAATCACCTGGTGAAAATGAAGGAAAGAACGTTTTTGTCAGAATTTGGGTTTGCATTCACTTTAAGGCGCTACAGTCAAAACTAATACTGTAGCCGCTGGCGTTTAATAAACAGACACTTACCAGCCTAGGAGTCCAGCACTGTCTTCACCCGAGCCGGTTCTTCGCCGGTCTTTAGATCCCATGCACCGCCATCTTTGCTGTGGTAATCCAGCTGTGACTTTCTCCTGTTTCACAACCGGCTTCCCACTGGGCATAAGCGAGGTGGGTTGCGCTTTAAGTCTTGTCCAGCAGCCTCCTGGGGACATGAGATGTGTCCTAGAAGGTTGTAGGGCGGGGGGGGGGGGGGGGCAGGCCAAAACCGCCGCAATTTACCTGTCAATAAAAGGTATGAAAAAAAAACTACTCAATAATGGTAGGGGAGGGGAGGAGGTGCAGAACTTTCACATTTAAAGGATAAGTTCAGCTTTTGGGAAAAAATAAATAAATTCACATTTTTTTGCAGGTAAAAAAAATTGCATTTATTATTATTTTTTTCCCCAATGAGTCTGCAGAACATTGCACTCATGATCAGCAGATCGTGGGTGCAATCTCAGGCTCCTGCAGACTCTCAAGATAGCTGTCAGCCCGTACCTCAAATGGGCAGGCCGTTACTTATTTATTATAGGTACTTGTATAGCGCCATTAATTTACGCAGTGCTTTACATACATATATTGTACATTCACATCAGTCCCTAACCCTCAAGGGGCATACTTGAGAGCAGGAAGATCAACAGACTACAACAATTCTCACCAGCACTCTCGTAACTCATTGAGAACTGCAAGCCGTCAACTGCAATGGCTTTGACGGTACCTGTAGTCTGTTCATTCACAGGGCACTCTGAATGAATGGCACAGCTGTGTGGGTGGAGCCCCGCACGGCCAAACTGTTCAAATTGTGACAGCGGGTGCAGGGAGAGGATCCCCTGCCTGCTGTCACAAGGAGGGGGGAGCAGCTGCAGATGCTGGAACATGTTCCTAAAAACAGGTGGAGTGTGTAACATGTTTCAAAGGTGGACTTAGTCTTTAGGCGAAGTTCCACTTTAAAGTGGAGTTCCACTCACTCTGTAAAAAACTGTAGCTGCTGACTTTTAAAAAACAGCCACTTACCTGTCCCACGATCTCGCGTTGCCCCCGCCACAGCCCGTTTCACTGGCCTTCCTGTATTCCAGGCGCTGGCATCTTCAGTGTGGGCACCCGGCTGTGACAGCTTGTGGCTTCACAGCCGGGTGCCCACTGCACATGCGCGAGTAGCGCTGCGCTTCCTGAATGGCCCAGTTGTCTTCTGGGACCTGTCATGTGTCCCAAAAGACTTTGGGGAGGGAGGGTAGGAGGATAACTTTAGCTTCTGAGCACCTAGGTGATCGCAGTGGGAGCGGGTACCTGTCCAATTTGGGTACCCCCCCCCCCCTGCTCCCCAAAGGTGCCAATCCTTAATGGGGAGCAGGGGACCAATCTTTAAAGCGGAACTTCCCCTTTTGGGTGGAACTCCGCTTTAAGTCCTGGTCACAGTGACCTTCAGTAGACAAATGAGGTAAATCTCTCTAGTGTGAAAGAAGTAAAAACCTGCAGAGTTTCTAACCCTTCCTTACTTCCTCCAAAACATTTGGACTAATATTCTGCTCCAGTAAAACATTTCCCTTTTTTTTTCTTGTTTCAGGCCCCCACCCAGCCCATCGGGAACAATAACCATCACAGCAGGACACGCCCAGTACCAGTCCATTCCAGTGTACGAGATGAAATTCCCAGATCTTTGCGTTTACTAAGCCGCAGGTCCCGGTGCGTTCATCAAGGGCTCCTGCGGCTGCTGGTGTTTTAGGGTTAGTTCAGCTTCTCAGTATTCAGACACTCCATCAGATCCATAAGGCAGGGACTTATAACTGTTACATCGCCAGCTGAGATTTGACGGACATGAAAGAACAGGACGGGTTCTTACAGATACCAAAAAGCAAACCAGTTGAAAATTAAACGTGCACAAATTCTGCATTAGTGTATGATCGTAGAAGCCATGAGCCATGACACTGAGCTGTGGTAAAGGCGCAGTATGAACCTTTTTTGGCTTCCAGTTTTTCTTAAAGTGAACCTGTCAGCCATTTTTAATTTTAGAAAAGATACGTTAGCCTAAAAAAATCATGATCTGAATGTGGTTACACTTTCCTAATAAGAGTTCCCTGCAAAACCCTACCTGCAACTAAGACCTATCCAGAAAGATTCCTCTTACTCGCCACTGAGGCACTCTCATTGGACAGGGCTACAGTGGGCGGGGCTTAGCGTGCAGGGAGGGGGGGGATTTTTAAGCAAGCAAATATATGCCCTAATTTATTAAGGAAAGCTGGACAAACACACAGAACAGGCTTGATTGGCTCACGATGGTTATTACAATAAGGATTATTATCATAGTCCTCATACATTTGTACCTTTTTAATGATTGACAGGTTGACTTGAAGGGTAAGCCACTCAGAACCTAGAATACATTTTTTGAGTGAATGCTCATGTGTTGAATTATCCACTGGCTGTCTTTGGTAGCATCAAAAAAGTGAGGTCTTCACTGTGGAGTCTCATTTCTCCTGCTGCATTCTTATAATGTAAACATTGTTTTGAGGTCACTTTTAGTTGATTGCTGTGTCGTATTTTGGTGATTTATATGCCATATTATGCCAATTTGTACTGCCTGTTTTCAGTTCCAGCATTGCAGTAAATACGGTTTTCAATCAGTGTCAGCTGACCTACAGACAGGGAACAGCAAAGCACAATCACTGATTTGAATTACCAAAATATGTAGGTGCCGCTTGTCTGTGTAATGGGCAGCCATGGCTTCCATGGTATGAAATATATGATGTACAATCAAATTAAGTTTTAAGACATTGGCAATCATTGATACTTTTATATTTCGTATTAACCCGATCACATTGATTTGCATATTAAAAAATAATGAAAGAGTTTATAGTGTTCACATGGCAGGTCTAAGAATGCAGTGACAAAAATGAGGTCCCCTGCCAATTGCTGGACACAAAACACTCAAGATTGATTCCTACTGCCAGTACCTACCCAAATCTGAAATACCACGTTGGTGGATTGACCGCTTACATTAAAGCTGAATGATGGGGGCTAAACAAATATTATCTGAATACAGGGGCGGACTGACCATTTGGAAACTCGGGTACTGCCCGAGGACCCGGGGTCAGTAGGGGGCCCCATGAGATGCCCCTGGTAGCTTTTTCTTAGGCTTTTTTGAGTTTGGGCAAGGACACAGGGGCCCCATGATCCCCTATTGCCCGGGCGCCCCATGAGTTGTCAGTCCGCCCCTGTCTGAATACAAAAGGATTGTGTGTTCATACCTAAATTTGTGCAGTAATTCAGCAGGGAACAACCTCTGCACTTGGCCTCTGTACAGAAGCTTCCTGCAATAAAAAGACCTGTCACTGCTGCTCTCCCTGCCAGGGTAACTGGTCTTGTCTCCACCTACTCCTGTAGTGGTCTGCAGGCAGCCTGTCATAGGTGGAGCCTGTTGGGTCCCTCCCACAGCAGGACATGTGCAGCACCTCTGCTTTTACAAATTAATATCTGGGTTTGCAAAGGCACTTGGTGGATTTTAGTCTCCTTGCATCTATTGAGAAATATATTTTAATGAAAGTTTTTGTGTCCAGAGTTCAGCTTTAATATATTCTGGAACTGCTGCTTATACAAAGATTTACACTTCATGCAATATATACTGTACGCTTCGGAGAGCAAAAGAGAATTGGAGCCTTTTTATGGGTTTTTTTTTTTTCCTCTATCTCTTTTTTTATAGTTTCTCTAGTTCATCCAGTTTTGCATTTAAAGTAGATCTCCAGCCAGTAGAGCTCCAGCCTTTGCAGAGCCAATATGAAATGATGATAGAGACCAGCAGGAGCCGAGCCACATTTTGGTTTTTCCTCATTTGGAAGGTTTGTGCATCTTGTCCTGAGAATGGTGTTACAGGATGTGATGGTAGACTCCTCCAATGGGGACAGGAACTACAACAAATACACCCTGTCCCTGAGGACAGCTAACCAAAATTTGCCTGGGCTCCTGTTTATCTCAGTCACGGGGGGGACTGACAACTCATGGGGCCCCCGGGGAATAGGGGATCATGGGGCCCCTGTGTCCTTGCCCACACTCAAAGCACACCCAAAAAAAGCCTATAAAAGGTACCAGGGGCATTTCATGGGGCCCCCTACTGACCCGGGCCCTCGGGCAGTGTTCGAGTGCTCAAATGGTCAGTCCGCCCCTGCTCAGACATCATTACATATCAGCTCTGCAAAGGCTGGAGCTCTACTGCCTGGAGTTCTCCTTTAAATGTAAAACTGGGGGGACTAGAAAAAAAAAAAAAATAATACAGGTAAAAAAATGTCTCCAATTCTCTTTTGCTCTCTGAAGCTTTCAGTTATCCTGGCATCACAGGACACAGAAAGTGAGCCTAAATCTACCCATCTGGGTCACAGACAGCAATAAAGGTTTGACAGAAGTCTTTCCCCACAATATCCAGAATTTAAAATAGCAGTTTGGCATTAAATGAGTTGTGACAGGCCGAATACGCGTTTTTAACTTTATTTCTGACAGCAAGTGTCAGTGTTATGCAAGGAATAGTGATATGTTCACAAATCCCTGCAAAAACTATTTTTGCTTGTTTTTCCTCAACAGCTGATGATACGTTATGATGATTAAAAACTCAGAGACTATCTCAGAACAAGCAAGCTGCATGTAATTTGATGCTGCAAGAACTCACTGCTGCCCTCTATAGGGTTCACTGCTCACTGCCGTGGCTTCTGGCAGACACCTTTCTTCTGGGATTATTGCAGTGTATCATTGTTTGAAGTGATTAGCAGATATAGAGATGTGTAAACAGTTTGAAAACTGGCACTTATGAGTGCAGCACACATCTCTGGCTGTGACCAAAAACCTAAAAAATTTTGGGTGCTACTCAAGGTTCCTATTTCCAGCTCCGGTGACACACAGAGGGGTGCTGACATGAAAAAAGCACGTCCTGGCTCAGTGCATGTAGTGAAGGGAAGAAAAAAAAAAAAACAATCACCGCAGGACCCGAATATCACTTAAGTGAAAGCGACTTCAGCCGGACTCCGTCCAGGCCATGCCACCGACGCGTTTCGTCCTGCCTTCAAGGGCTTAGTCATGGCCATCTGTGGCCTGGACAGAACCAAGCTGAAGCCACTTATGTGATACTCGGGTCTTGTTAGTGTGCGGCGATCAGGTTTTTTCTTCCCTTGACTGCACACATCTCTGGCTGCCACTTGAACCCATTTGGATCTCATGAGACTGTTTACGTAATTCTCCTTCAAAGGCAGGTTTGGTATTTGAGAAAATGACTTGCTTGTCTCCGTCCATGGATATGTCTGTAGATGTGTATTTGAAACGGTTTAAAATCTTTAACCCTGTATGGATCATGCACACAGTTTTTATGTTACCTCATTTCTACAGTTGCACAACACTGTTATATTGCTGGTTCTTGAGAGAATATCAGAAGAATGTTTATCAGTTTTGCACTATTGGGATTCTAAAGGAAAGAGTTACGCACTGTCCATCTACTTACAAACGAAGGTCATTCCATCACTTATAGCCTTCAACTCACTAACTTCTCAGCGGGTCGTGAAAGTCTCAGTCCTTATTGGAATTCTATTGGTCTTTTAGTTGGGTGTCTGCTGCCTCAAATATCTATTCAGTTCTGTGATTGTCTATATAAATAAATAAGGGACCCAGCGGCACACAGCCCTCTCCCCACCCATGGAAATTAATGAGCTGAATGCTATAGTGTGGAAAATGTTTTACTTCCTATAGAACCTTTAAACTCTATATTATTTTTAACAGAGAAGAATGAGAATTGAGTAAATGGAAAGCAGCCAGCACTTTAGGGGAACGTTGGGGGTGTCGGGATCTCCAAGGCGCATTTACAAGATTTGTAGCTTGCCAATCAGACTAGACAGTTGTAAGCCAATTTTTTTTTTCTATATACAAAAATTTAAAGAACTGCTAACATACAGTGACTAAAGGGAAAGAGGGAGGGGAAGGAAAATGTATAGCCATGCTCCCCAATCCCCATTCCTTCAAGTTTCCTGTGCCTCGGCCTACATGTTAGACACTCCTGATTCACTGGAGGGGCGGAGTATAAAAGAAATGGCCCCGCCCCTCTCCCAGCTACTCCCAGTTGTCCATGCTTTAACCTAGGTCAGACACTCCCGATTCACTCAAGGGGAGGAACATGAAACAAATGGCCCTGCCCACCTCTACCAGCTTCTCCTGGTTCTCTGTTTCATCCTATGTGTCTGACATTCCAGATTCAGTAGAAGGGAGGAGTATAAAACAAATGGCCTTGCCCCCTTCTCCGAGATCCTCTCAGTTGTTTATGGTTTGACTTATGTCAGACATTCCCAATTCACTCAAGGGGAGGAGTTAAAAACAAATGGCCTGCCCCCCTCTTAACTCCTCCCAGTTGTCTAAGCTTTGGCCTATGTATCGGACAATCTCGATTCACTTGAGAGGAGAGTCCAAATAGCCCTGCCCCCTTCTCCGAGATCCTCATTTGTTTATGCTTTGACTTATGTCAGACATTCCCAATTCACTCAAGGGGAGGCGTTAAAAACAAATGGCCTGCCCCCCTCTTAACTCCTCCCAGTTGTCTAAGCTTTGGCCTATGTATCGGACAATCTCGATTCACTTGAGGGGAGGAGTATAAAAACAAATAGCCCTGCCCCCTTCTCCCAAGATCCTCATTGGTTTATGCTTTGGCTTA